GAGCGGTCTCTTCCACCCTCCGGTGACCATTGAGCACGCCCGTGTCAAAATGTCCTTTATTCGCCCCACCAAGGTGGCTGGGCCGCACTCGAGGTGCCACAGGTCCTCGAACAGACATGACCAGACCCCTGGCCTCACGGACACTCTCACCTTCTAGAAGTCATGTGAGACAACGGTTCGGCGAGCCACCATGTATGTTTACAAACGCAGACAAGCACATGCGTGGCCTCTCCCAATCCGAGGCCTCTTACCTGGAACACCTGCCCGTCCACCTGTGCGTAGGCCTTCACGGCGTGCTCGGGGAACATGAAGGTGACGAAGGCAAAGCCCTTGGGCTTCTTGGTCAGGCTGTCGATGGGGTAGTGGAGCTCGGACACGGGCCCTGCGGACAGAAGTGACCGTCTCGGGTGGGCGGGCTGAGCTCGGGGCCTGGCAGGGGTGCAGGTTTTGACTTTGGCAACCTCTGATGCTGTTGGCGGTCAGCCACGGCTGCACCGGGGGACGAACACGGCGTGTGTACACCAGTCGGGAGACCACTGCGAACGTCACGGGTGTCATTGCACAGTTCCTCACGTGTCTAGCTTCAGCGCAGAGGCTCCGGGCGGGGTCCCAGCCCTGCCTACGTGTGGCCTGACCTGGACAAACCTGTCTCCATGTGCCTCAGTCTCCTGAGCTGTGAAACGGCATGAGGAGAGTGCCTGGCAGATCTGTGAGTTCCTGTGCCCACGATGCAGGAGGCTGAGCAGGGCCGGCTGCAGCCTACTCCACCCCAGCGCTAGCCGTGACATGGTCACTCTGAAACTAAACCACGGCTTCCTGCACTGGTTTCCACGCCGAACACGAGGGTGTGCCAGTCTCCCCTCTGGGTCTTCTCTTCCCAGTGGACAAGCCCTCTCCTCCCAGCCCTGCTGTGTAAGTCAGGGCCCCAGGCCTATGGAAGCGCCCGGCAGGCAGGATGGCCGTGGACACGGGCTGGGAGGCCACACTGCCTTGCCCGATGGTGGGTCCCACTCTGTGGCCCACAGCTGGTGCTCGGGCAACCCCTCTGGCACCCCCACAACCCACAGCGGGCCTGCAAGCTTGTGGGGAGGCACTGCAGACACAAATGAGGCGAGACCTTGTCCTCCGGTTTGAACCCGACCCTCCCTCCAAAGACCGTCACCTGCAGGCAACTGCAGCCCTGGGCGGTCACGAGGAACTGCAGGCCATCAGGTTAGGCCTGAGCAATGATGACAACGGACAGGACGATGCTGTAACTGCTACTGTCAGGCCTGTCCGGGTGCTCCGTGTGGACACGAAGACCAGAGGCCGAGGGCCAGACCCCGAAGTGCAGACTGAGCAGCCAGCGTGTGGATGTCAAGGAGTGTCTCAGGAAAGTGCACCCGCACGTCAGCGCTGAGCTGGGAAAGCCCAGACGGCAGAAGGGGCCTGTAGTGCCACCCTGCATGGCCTGCTCTGCTCAGCCCTGTGCCAGCGTGTCGCCGAGTCCTTGCAGCCCCATTTTATAAACAGAAAACTGCAGAGACAGGTGGCGTCATTGGCCCAAGAGCAAGAGTGAAGGGGAGGCAGTCAGGGACTTAAACCAGGATATCTGAGTCGGAGCCCTGCTCCTACAGTCGCTGTGTTAACCGTGCGTGCAGCAGGCCGAGGCCCCGCCCCTACCGTATTTGGAGAAGAGCTTCTCCAGGTCCTCCTCGGTGCTGGTGTAGGGCAGGTTCCGCACGAAGAGCCTCCCGGAGTCGGCCAGGTCCTCCTCCTCTTCGTCCTCCCCGAGTGTGCGACCTTGCCAGGTTCTGGCGCTATTCTTCGGGGGCCCCTTGGTCGTGGGGACGTTCTTCTCCCGGAACACCTCGATGTAG